GAATTAGATATAACATATATGTGGAATTAATGGTAGGAGAAGGCTGAAAGAAGGTCTGGTGCTTCTACTTCTTGGAAAATTATGTAGCTGTTACAAATTATAGTGATAAATACTAAAAATATATTGCAATATTGAACATGTTAATCATAGAACACTAATTGAAAAATATATTATAGTCGAGTAAATATTAATATAATATTGGATTTATATATACATGGACAAGGATTGTGACAGGAAAATCAAAGTAGCATGAGTTGATTCCCACTGAAGTTGCAAGGTTATTGATGCAATAAATAAACAGAAAGTTAAGAATTCATGGGAGCCAGCCGGGCGCGGTGGCTCAAGCCTGTAATCCCAGCACTTTGGGAGGCTGAGACGGGCGGATCACGAGGTCAGGAGATCGAGACCATCCTGGCTAACACGGTGAAACCCCGTCTCTACTAAAAAATACAAAAAACTAGCCGGACGAGGTGGCCGGCGCCTGTAGTCCCAGCTACTCCAGAGGCTGAGGCAGGAGAATGGCGTAAACCCAGGAGGCGGAGCTTGCAGTGAGCCGAGATCCGGCCACTGCACTCCAGCCTGGGCGACAGACCCAGACTCCGTCTCAAAAAAAAAAAAAAAAAAAAAAAGAATTCATGGGAGCCATGAAATATTCAGAATGTGGAGAGCTGTGCTGCTGTTCAGTCATTGCACAGGTGCCTCCTTGTCCCCAGTCTGTATCCCCCTTCAAGTTCCTGGGAAAGCTTCCCGGGTTAGCAAGACTCTCAGGCTTACTCCATTATTTTATACCCTGCCTCACCCTCGTCCTTAATTATTTTGCCCTTAAGTATTTTGCTTTGTAGTGATTTTTCATATGCACACATTCTCCCCATCCGACTAAGACTGCAGGCTCCATATTGCCCCTGTCCTTACAGCCAGCGGCCTCAGTTGCTCTAGGCAGCCTGGAAATGATCGGGAATCCATTTTTTAGCTTTTACTTCTAGAGTTTTTCCCGAGTTCATCAGCTCCCTTCTGAATCAGCAACCTCAGCCCCCACTAGCTATCCACACCTATCTGTCCAACCCGGTGAAAACCTTGGAGGGGGGAAAGCAGTGTGAAGCAAGAAGCCAACAGCAAGAACACACATGAGCCCGGGATGGGTTGAACTTTGTTTTGCTTTCACATTTGTAGGTGATTGCTGTGTTTGATCTTGGAAACGCTTCACCTGCTGACACTGATGAGTCTTGGTTTCCAGGAGTTTGCTTTTGTGCTCCCTCCCACCTTGCCATCAGCAAGGGGAGGGGGTAAAGGGTTAAGTCGTTTCTTTTTTTTTTTTTTCTTTTTTTGAGACGGAGTCTCGCTCTGTTGCCCAGGCTGGAGTGCAGTGGCCGGATCTCAGCTCACTGCAAGCTCCGCCTCCCGGGTTCACGCCATTCTCCTGCCTCAGCCTCCCAAGTAGCTGGGACTACAGGCGCCCGCCACCACGCCTGGCTAGTTTTATGTATTTTTTAGTAGAGACGGGGTTTCACCGTGTTAGCCAGGATGGTCTCGATCTCCTGACCTCGTGATCCCCCCTCCCCGTCTCGGCCTCCCAAAGTGCTGGGATTACAGGCTTGAGCCACCGCGCCCGGCCCGGGTCAAGTCGTTTCTAAGGAGGATGTTGGAGTGAGATTATGAATGTAGTTGACAGCCGGCTTTCTCCGTTTATGTTGGGTGGAAGAACTGCCCAGAGTTAGGGCAACAGGCTCTCTTTAGCGCTCTATTAACTGCCCTGGGTCCAAAAAAGGCTTTTGTGGGTCCTAAGAACTCATATTCCTGGAGGTCCTACCTCACATTTTATCATACATATTTAAGTGCTCCCACATTCCTCTTTACATTTTTTTTTTTTTTTTTTTTTGCTGTTAATTGCTCTAAAAGGCTTTTTTGTTTTTGCTTTTTGCAATTATTTGGCTATGACAGACTCACCTAATTTATGAGTGACTCTGATTTCTTAGAACTCTGTGTGCATAATTGGGAATTTGAGGGAGATGAAAAAATGCAACCTGCAAATTGTTTATAAATATAATGAATATTTTATGAACATTACATTTAACAATCAATGAAGTATGAATGTCAGTTAAATATTTATTCACTTCAATTTTGTGGTTTTCTTTTGGTATCGTGGAACCAATAATTTTTTTCTTTTTTACATTTTAACGGTTTCTTTGGCTCATAAAAAGTCTGTAGGCCCTATACACAGAGCCCATGATGCCTAGAGGTAAATGCTGTGGACTCCCGCAGCTCTTCCTACTACAGGGTTCCTGCTTTGAGTTTCTCGGAAATTTGTTTCTGCTTTAGGTGGCTTCTGATCTTGCCAGTGAGGGCACTGCTGACCATTCTGATCTCAGTTTAACTGTCACCTTATCCAAGAAGGCTTTGTTGATCAGCCATGAGAAAGTAGCCAACCAGTCATGCTATTTTATGTCTTATTATAGAACTTACAACTAGCTGATGTTATTCTTCTAACAACATCTATAATCTAATAAGCAGATTTAAGTCCACTGATTTGTTGATCTACCAGTCTACCAATCAATGGATCAATTGATTGTCCACTGCTACTGAAATGTAATGTCCGAGATCTTGTCAGTTTTGTTTACCAACATATCCCTCCACTATCTAAAATAGTGCCTGGCACAGAATAAGTGCTCAATGTTGTGTGTGTGTGTGTGTGTGGAATGGATAAAATAATAGTTACGGTTACCATACACATTTACTGGCTCGTGTATCCTCCCAGTAGTACTGTGATTTCAGAGAAAGAGGTAGGATGATGTGGTAGGCAGAATCAGGCTCCCCACCCCAGAGATGTTCACATCCCAGTTCCCAGAACCTATGAATATATTATATTACATGGCAAAGGAGAATTTAAGTTGCAGATGGAATTAAGGTTGCTAATTAGCTGATCTTAAAATGAGATTCTCCTGGATTACTAGGCGGGCCCAATGTAATCATGAAGAGTCCTTTAAAGTGGAAGAGGGAGGCAGACTAGGATGTCAGTGATGCAGTGTGAGAAGGACTCAGCTAACTGTTGCTGGTTTTGACAATGGAGCAAGGGGGTGTGAGCCAAAGAACATAGGAGGCTTCTAAAACCTGGAAGAGACAAGGAAGTGGATTCTCCTGAGAGCCTCCAGAAGGGAACATAGATCTGTGAACTTTTTTTTTTTTTTTTTTTTTGGTTAGCCCAGTGGGATCCATTTCAGACTTCTGACCTCCAGAACTATAAAATAATACATTTTATTAAGCCACTAATTTTGTGGCAATGTCTTATAACAGCAATAGAAAACTATTATGGGGACAGTTTTGCAGATGAAGACAAAGAGGCCCATACTTGATAGGCCACTTGTTCAAGGTCATATAGGCATTTAGTATCATGCAAGCTAGATTTCAGTTGGTCAGAGATACACAGGTCATTGCTGTTGGCATCTGTCCCATTATCTATTGCTTCCTGACAATCCAACCCAAAGCTCAGTGGCTTAAAACAACAATCTATTATTATTTTCACGGCTCTGTGAGTTGACTGGGCTCAGCTGAGAGGATTCTTACTTTGAGTTTATCATGTGATTCCAGTTGGAAGTCGGCCAGGATTTTGAAGGCTTACCTGAGCTCGATATCCAAGAGAGTGCACTCACATGCCTGGCAGTTAATGCTGGCTGTCAGCTGGGAGCTCACCTGGGCCCCACCATGGGCCTCAGCCTACAGCCTGGGAACTGGCCTCTAAGAGGAAGGATTACAAGAGCAGGCATTACAAAAGGCAGAGAGCAGCAGCTGCCAGGCTAGTTAGGGGCCATGCCTGGAACTGGCACGCTGGAACTTCTGCCATATTCTATTAGTCAAAGCAGTTACAGGGTCGACCCAGATTCAAGGAGGTGGAGAAATAAACCCTGCCTCTTGATGAGGGGAGTGGCAAGGTCATATTGCAGAGGAGCTTGTGGGACAGGAGATACTGATGCAGCAATTTTGGGAAAGTAATTTCCAACAGCATCCTTATTTGAAAGACCTGCAAATACTTTGTAGCAATCTTACAATTAATCAGTCAACAATGAATTACCTAATAACCTCCGAAAGGCCCCACCTCCTATCATCATCACATTGACATTAGAGTTTCAACATATGACTTTTGGGAGGGACACAAACATTTGGTCTATTGCACACATGTTCCCTGGGGCTCTGACACTTCTATGGGAGACACTTAGAAAAAAACAGACAATTAGGTAAAAACCACAATTGCTTTTGTACTAACCTAATACTAGCTCCCCCTCAACCCAGTAATTAAAAACACAATGGATTTTCTTTTTATTTATTTAGAGACTGGGTCTCACTCTGTTGCCCAGGCTGGAGTGCAGTGGCATGATCTCGGCTCACTGCAGTCTTTGCCTCCCAGGCTCAAACCATCCTCCCACCTCAGTCTCAGCCTCCTGAGTACCTGGGACCACAGGGACACACCACCAAGCCCAGCTAATTTTTGTAGAGACAAGGTTTCACCATGTTGCCAGGGCTGATCTCAAACTCCTGGGCTCAAGTGATCTACCTGCCTTGGCCTTCCAAAATGCTAGAATTACAGGCATGAGCCACTGTGCCCAACCGGATTTTCTTTTTAAAATACAGCCATGCATCTCTGAATGACAGGGATATGTTATGAGGAATGCCTGATTTCACTGTGTAAACATAAATAGAGTATACCTACATAAACCTACATGGTACAGCCTACAACACACTATATGGTATATCTATTGCTCGTAGGCTACAAACCTGTACAGCATAGTAACATAGTAATGTAGTTAAGTACTTGTGCCATAGGAATTTTTCAGCTCCATTGTAATCTTATGGGACCACTGCACGTCTGTCATTGACCAAATCACTGTTATGTGATGCACGACTGTAGTTGTACTATTTCATTGTATTAACTGATTACCATGTGATAAACACCAGAAAGCATGCTGAATGATAAGGGAGTTCCTCCCTGCCCTCTCCATTGTCTCTTGCAGCTCAATATCAGTAGTTTGCAGATCGCAACCAGGAATGGCCATGCATCCCTTGTCAACTTTCTTCTCAGTGAGAACGTTGATCTGCACCAGAAAGTGGAAGTGAGTTTATTCCAATAACATGGGCTTTGGTCCTGGCGCCATGAGGTTGGCCGTGCTAAGGAGATGCCCCTTGCAGATACATGTAGGAGATGAGATGTTTCACAAGGGAGGAATTATTTCTGGGAAGGCTGGCTGACTTGTTTTGGAGGCTGAGTCTTAATCTTGAGAAATAAAATCCAAGGGATGAATTTTAGAAAGTCATTGAAGTTCCTGAACAAAATGAAATCTTTGTGTTTTAAATATTTGTATTTGCTGCAAAAAAGCTTTCTCATATGTCTAGAGATGCCATTACTCTTGTATTAATTTTATCAGTCTGGGAAAATAATGAAGCAGCTGTACATATCAAGAAGAGTGATAATTTTTCTCCCTTCACTGAATGTTCTTGCTTTTCTTTTGAAAGTCAATTCTTTATACTGATTTAGGTTTTCTGACGTTTGAATTAGCTTTGGCAGAATTAACAAAGGCCCTCTGTGCTGGAATTAAACAAGAAACATGCCTCTATTTTTCCACTCTATTTTCATTTCTCTGTTGAGAATATGATTTCCTCTGATCTTGCTGAGCCATTACTATTTATTATATTAACTCAAGAGGAGGGATGTGATTTAAACCATGTCAGATAGCTTTTGGAGCATAGTATTGGGGGAATTGGCTCTGAACTTACCTGGTTCAGTCCAAGGACACTTCCTGTTTCTCAGGAGGAGCTGGGCCCAGCAAGGCGGGTGGCCCCAGCAAGGACAATGCCCACTTCTTTGCAATGTGGGATGCTTTCTCATTTTTCACGCTTAGTGCCTCAAGGAGGTTACTCCTGGGCAGAAGAAACCTACACAAAAATTCTTCCCTTCACGCTGCCCCCACGGCCCTGCTCACACCATCTGTCTGCTTTGACCCTTGCTGGCCTCTGACAGTCTCTGACTTCCTCAGGTGTGGTCTTCTACCTGTCCCCTCATCTCCCCTCCCTCCATCTGCTGGTGACACTCTTGCCAACTCACTATGGTCTCTCTTCCATCCATCTACCCCCATCTCCTGAGACAGAGCCTGGTGCAGATGGTAGAGTCAGAAAGGTCTGGGTTCACGTCCTGTCTCTGCCACTTCCTTGCTGCATGGCCTTGTGGAAGTAACTGATCCTCTTTGTGTCTCATGTATGAAGTGGGGAATATGAGATTGAATGTCTAGGGTTATTGATGTGATCTCTGAAAAACTGTCAGCCTGGTGTTTAAAACAGAGTATAAACTGTTAGGGCAGCCTGGGCAACATGGCAAGACCCCATCTCTACAAAAATTTAAAAATTAGCCAGGCACAGTGGTGCATGCCTGTAGCCCCAGCTACTCGGGAGGCTGAGGTGGGAGGTTTGCTTGAACCCAGGAGTTTCAGGTTACAGCGAATGACAATGGCTCCATTGCCCTCTAGCCTGGGCAACAGAGTGAGACCCCATCTCTGAAAAAAAAAATAAAAGAAACAGTTGGGGAATTGAGCGTGTAATAAGCACCACGATGAGAATGTGCTGAGTGTGTCTGATGCATATCACGAATATCAGCTGTTCCACTTGAGCGACGCTGCACTTGCCCTAATCACTCACCCTCGTAGGTGCTTGTTCTCTCTCGCCACTCGCTCCACACTCAGCTCGGCTCCTGATCTGCACGGTGTCACTGGATCTTCAGCCCTTGCTGTCACACCCCTGTCCACCTCCCCCTGGTGTCCTCCCTCCCTCATCATGCTGGATGCCCCTCACTTCCCTCTCTCTCATGCCTTAATCGCTTCTGCCCTCACTTCCCTTCATTGCTTCTTCCCTCCCTTTTCCCCACTCTCAGCTGACTCCTGGAGGCATGTCTCCTCTCATGTCTCCACAGGCCAGTGGCAGCTGGGTGGGACTGCAGCAGCACGGGAGCCTGGAGGCAAAGTGTTGGGGGTAGACATAGGCACTGCGACCTAGCAGGGCTGGGTAAGAAGCCAGTGATGGGGATGGGTGAGAGGGGGCTGTGGCTGGGAAGACAGGTGTAGGTGTTTTAGCCACAAAGGAGAACAGGAGAGCAGGCTGCAGAGGGCTTGGGGAACATCCTGTGGCTGGACTCTATGCGGGGAGAGCTGAGCATGAGGATGGTGCCCCTGAGTAAGGGGGACTCCAGTCCTATAGGACACACTAAGGAGTCAGGGCTCCAGAACAAATCAATTCAGGAAATGCCAACTGTGCAATGATTTTGCCCTTGTGGCTACTCTCATTGCCCTTTAGCTCTTTGAATGCTCTGAGAAGTCCTGCGGTTTGGCCTATTTAACACTTACTTCTCCTTCATATTTGAGCTTAAATGTCAGTTCTTCAGAAAAGTCTTTTCTGGCCTCCCGAAAGGTCAGCCTTCCCCCTATCCCCACACTGGCTCTTCTACTTCTAAAGCACTTAATTGTATACCGTATTTGTGTGACTTAAAAAAAGTTAATATTTGCTTACCCCACTAGATTGAAAGATTCCTGAGAATGAGCTTTGTTCATGCTAAATCCCTGGCCACCTGAAAAGAGCTTGGCCCACAGTAGGTGCTTACTATGTTGCTCCAGAAAGAACAAAGGGGGCGAGCTGATTGCCGGGGAGCAAGTTTGCTTCAAAGCCTTGGGATGACCACAAATGCTGAATACTTACTAAGGGTCACCACTGGGATGGGTAGTTTCAGTACTTGGGAGATCATCAGGAAATAGCTGCTGAAATGAGTTGCTTTTTGATTTGAATGATGAAACCAGAACCTTTTGGATTTGAAATTTTTATTTCTCTCTGCAGCCTAAGGAGTCTCCTCTTCATTTAGCTGTTATCAACAACCACATCACGGTTGTAAACAGCTTATTAAGTGCACAGCATGATATTAACATATTAAATCAGGTAAGCCAAGAAAATCAGAGCCTGGAGGGTCTCTTTTCTTATATTTCAACACAGTGGGTGTTTAGGGGGAGTTTTGATCAAGTTCGAGGTACCTAAAAATTCCTGGGAGGAACATGTGCATCCTTTTTATCCTTTTCCTTGTGTAACTCTCACTCCATCCCCATGACCACACACATACTTTTGTCTTTCTCAGCCACACAACTGGAGTTCAGCCAGTGCATGATTAAATCTTACATGTTTAACAGGCCCAGCACTTTTGATAGAAAAACAGTAGCTCAGAGCTAAATGGCCAGAGGCTCTTTAAATCAAAAGCCACTCCCCCAGAGTGAAATATTGTAATTGGCAGGGAGCCTTTCCCCCACAAGAAGGAAGCTTTGTTTCTATATTGAAGACAGTAAATGTGTCTTCTCTTTGCCTAAAGGCAAAAGAGACCTCTTGGAATAAAAGAAAAATCACCCCAAGTTCAGTCAACTGAAGCAGAATCAAATGACTCATTAAAGCAATCCATTACTGGCTGGAAATGGGAATGCCGCAGCGGAATGATGAAGAGAATGGGGGTGGGCACTGATGAGCCTGCTCTCTGGAGCTCTTCTGGGGCTGGCCTGCCCTCTTCCAGGATACGTAGGGGAGTGGAAGAGGAGCCTTTCCAGGGTCCTGAGGCCAGATGAGACCTTCCGGCTGCCTCTTCCCAGAGAAGCCTCTGCGGCGCCCCTCCGGCTTAGGGAGGAGCCACGGTGCAGTGGGCATGCCTGCCTGTCCTAATGCACTGTGAAACCAGAGCATTGACTCAGATCTCTGCAGTCTCCTCCCATTGCCACCTATGAGCTAAATTTTGCTCTGAGCTGAATGAAGATTTACCTGTACTTCTGTCCCTTCTCTCCTCCAGGGAACCTAGCCTCCTCCTTTGCCTTTACCTATCCCAAAAGTTTTTTGGGGGAAAAAAAAATCTCCTCTTGTTATTAAATATGCTTATGTATTCAACTATGTTAATATCTAAAATCTTTCCCAATGGGCAAAATCTTTGCTAAATACACAGACAGAGCCTTGTGCTCACATGTGATACTGGTTTTGACAGAACTGGCTAGATGTACTCTAGGGAAGGAGTGTTTGTTAGGCTTGCTATCCTTTTACAGAACCAGACTTCATCACTTTAATTTTTTATTAGACCAAGAATAAGCATAAAAAATAGGAAATTTTATATTTCAAATGTAAAATATGTATGTAAAATTTTTTAAAAAGCTAAAAAGACTTAATGTGTTTGAAGTACCCAGCAAAGAAAGATAACTCTTGCTAATGTTTTAGTGCATTTCCTGCCTTCCAGACTTGTAGCATTATTGTTAAAATGGGTGTTGTTGGATTTGATACATTCCATTTTCACCTTTGTTCCATGTCGGTAGAGATCTTTGGTAGGCGTGTCAGTATAAGTGTAATGTCTTCAATGACAAACACCTAGACACACTGACATTTGAAGGTGAGTCTTTAAGAAATGCTTTTTGGGGCGAGGTGTGGTGGCTCACGCCTGTAATCCCAGCACTTTGGGAGGCTGAGGCGGGTGGATCACGAGGTCAGGAGTTTGAGACAAGCCCGGCCAACATAGTGAAACCCTGTCTCTACTAAAAATACAAAAAATTAGCTGGGTGCCTGTAATCCCAGCTACTTGGGAGACTGAGGCAGAAGAATCGCTTGAACCCAGGAGGTGGAGGTTGCAGTGAGCTGAGATCGCACCACTGCACTCCAGCCTGGGCGACAGAGTGAGACTCCATCTCAAGAAGAAAAAAAAAAAAAGGCTTTTTGGAGGTCAGGTGTTTTGGGTCACACCTGTAATCCCAACACTTTGGATGGCCAAGATAGGAGGATCACCTGAGGCCAGGTTTGAAACCAACCTGGGCAACATAGCGAGACCTCATCTCTACAAAAAAAAAAAAAAAAAAAAAAATTAGTAGAGCCTGTAGGCCTGAAGTCTCAACTACTCAGGAAACTGAGAAGGGAGGATTGCTTGAGCCCAGGAGTTCCAGGTTACAGTGAGCTACTATCATGCTACTGTACTCCAGTCTAAATGACAGAGTAAGCAACTGTCTCTCAGAAAAACATAAAAATATAAATAAATAAATGTTTTTTGGTAATATCCCCAGCATACTGGCCCTGTGCTCTGGTGGGAGGAGTAGTGGGCCACATGCTATTGCCCAGCTCTGTGACCCTGGGAAGCTGCTTCCCTTTTCTGGTTAAGGAGTTGGACTGATCACATCTAAGGCTCCTCTCTGCCCTAATATTTTAGAAATCTCTTCACAACTGCATTCCTTTTGGTGAGAGGTTAAGATGGGTGATTTTCTTGGGATTTCGGATATTTCTTTTGAAACTCTTATCATCTTAATAGGAAAATGATTACTCCGGAAGGAAATTAGAAGTCTTGAACTCCTTTATACATTATAATGTAGAAAATTTAGAGAACAGAGAAATGCATTCGGAAGGCAATAAAATAAACTCTAATCCCTTCATCTAGACCTTAGCATTAGCATTTTTCTGTACTGTATTTTCTTCTCTTTCTCTATATGTAGTTTTAATTAAATCAAGCTCAACTAGATAGTATCATTTCCTGAAGTTTCAAACATTATATCAAAAGCATTTTTTATTTTCAAAAAATCTTTGAAATCATTTTTATTGTAGTAAAATACGCATAACAAAATCCACCATTTTAACCGTCTTAAGTGTACAGTTCAGCAGCATTAATTACATTCATTTGGTATAATATCACCACCATCCATCTCCAGAACATTTTTCATCTTCTCAAACTGAAATTTTATATCTATTAAACAGTGACTTCCCTCCTCATCCAGCTCCTGGGAACCACCATTCTACTTTCTGTCTCTATACATTTGACTACTTTAGGTACCTAATATTGAAATCATTTTTAAAAAAGTAATTTTTAATGGTTGCCTATTATTCCAATATAGAGATGTATCATAATTTATCTAGTGAGTCTCCTTGTTAAACATGTAATTTCCTTTCAGTTTTTCACTATTGAAAATAATACTGCAATGAATGCCCCAGTATCCATTAAAGAATGTACGACCTGTGTTTTCCCTTGAGCCTAAACAGGATGGCTATACTTTCCGTTTGTCTTTTCACCATCCAAGTTTGTTCCCCTCCTTAATTTCATGGCAGAAGCAACAAACCCCTCTGCATGTAGCTGCTGATTGTGGAAATGTGGAACTGGTGGAAACCCTGCTGAAGGCAGGCTGTGACTTGAAGGCTGTTGACAAGGTAAGTGCATGGACTTAATCCATTCAGCTGAGATGGTTGCTAAGACCTTCCCGTTGGCTCTCAGCCTTGAGCAGAGGCATTGGAATATCTTTTGTGAAATGGGCACAAACTGGAGAAACCGTGTATCTTCATAGTCAGTAAAATATCCCAGTTTTGGTTGAGCTATGTCAGTAAGAATTTTTACTTTGAATAACAAATATGTGTTTTTAAATTCAAATTCTTTATTAAATTTTTGAAAAGATTATAGATTCATATGGTCCAAAAATAAAAGAATATAACTAGTAAGGGTTTAACAGTAAAAATTTCCCACCCACCCCTGGTCCTACTTGTCTGGTTACCATACCACCCTGCCTATATGTATCCGTTATTATAAATTATTTCTGTTCCTTCCAGAGTTTTTTATGCACATGCAAGCAAACATAAACACATTGTACTCTTATTCCCTTCCTCCATCCTTTTTAGACACTGATGGCTTACCTATAACTAGTATACTGTTCTGCATTTAGCTTTTTTAGCATTATTAAGTGGAGATATTTGCATATTAGTACATAGAGAGTTCCTTCATTTTTTTTTTTTTTTGAGCTGCATTGTATAGCATGGCACAGACATATCACAACTTGTTCAACTAGTCCTCAATTGACTGACATTTAAGTTGTTCCTAAGGTTTTGCTCTTATAAACAGAGTTGCAATGAATGACTTTACATATGTCTAAATTTTTTTTTAATTAAAAAATTTGTGGTAAAATACACATACATAAACACTGTCTTAACCATTTTTAAGTATATAGTTCAGTATGGTTAAATATGTTCACATTGTATGCAACTGGTCTCCAAAACTTTTCATCTTGCAAAAGTGAAACTTTATACTTGTTCAATAACTGGCCATTTCTTCCTTCTCCCAGCCCCTGGGAACCACCATTCTACTTTCTGTTTCTATGAATTTGACCACTCTAAGCATCTCATATAAGTGGAATCACATGGTATTTGCCTTTTTGTGACTGGCTTAGTTGACTTAGTGTAACGTCTTCAAGGTTTATCTATGTTATAGCATGTGTCAGAATTTCATTTCTTTTTAAGGCTAAGTAACATTTCGTTGTATATCTCTACCACATTTTGTTTATTCATTCATCCATTGATGGACATTTGGGTTGTGTCCACCTTTTGGCTATTGTGTAAACTTGTTTTTAAAGAAGGACAATTTTGTTTCTTTCAAGTGGTGCAACAGTGCAGGCTAAGCCTCCGGAGGGTTGTCAGAGAGCTGTGTTAGGTTTCAGCTTTACTGAAAGTTATACAGGAGGCCCCTGGATACAGCCCTGTCAGGTACTCATGCATGCCATATTACTTCAATCCTCACATCTCAGTGAGGTGGACAAAATTACTCCAGTTTTCAAGAGTAGATTGGACAGATTCTGATGACACTGGGTCACACACATAGTAAGAGGCAGAGCTGGCTTCAAACCCAAGTAGTGGCTGCTCTGCCATCTGGTGCTTTGCTACAACTGTCAGCAAAGATGACTGCTTCCGAAACTTGCAGTTTTCCCTTCCTCATTTTTACCCACATAGTTCAATAGCCAGCACCTCCCTAATTCACAGTGCAAGCCTGAATCCACTCTACTCTAGTTCAGAATCATCCATTTTACATGTGTAAGATCTAAAGTAGTTATATGTTATATTACTTTTCTCTGTGTGTCAGTTTCTAAAATTAGATTTTTTTTTTTTTTTTTTTCTGATCATAAAAGTAACACAGGCTGGCTGGGCGCAGTGGCTCACTCCTGTAATCCCAGCAGTTTGGGAGGCCAAGGCGGGCACATCACGAGGTCAGGAGTTTGAGACTGGTCTGACCAACATGGTGAAATCGCATCTCTACTAAAAATACAAAAATCAGCCAGGCATGGTGTTGGGCGCCTGTAATCACAGCTACACGGGGGGGCTGAGACAGAAGAATCACCTGAAACCTGAAGGCAGAGGTTGCAGTGAGCTGAGATCGTGCCAATGCCCTCCAGTCTGGGCAAAAGAGCAAAACTCCGCCTCAAAAAAAAAAAAGTAACACAAGCCCACTGTGGACAATTTAGAACACATAGAAAAGCTTAAGGAAGGAAAACACAAACCCATAATGTTATCACTTGTGTGGAATTCCACCACTTTCACCAGTTGTACCTGGTTAACTTGGTTTAATATTTAGCAGTAATATTTTCTAATGCTATTGTTTTGTAATTTATTTTAGTTTTTCATGAATACTTAATACACCCAGAGCCATTCTGTGGGTACAAAATCTATACCATTGGGCAGGGATTTACATTGGGGTCCCCGGTGCTTAGTGGACTAGATATTCCAGTAAACAGTCAATGCTACCATTTGACTTTGTTTTCAAAACAAGAACTCACAGTTTACTGGGCCTCATAATTTGATTTTCCCAGATTTCCCTTCTTCTCCTTTCTTTTCAAGGTCTGGCACATAGTTGGCACCCAATACGTAGTTAATTAATGAATAAAAAATATCTTTTCTATTGGCTCCCACAATTTATTTTCATTTTCATTTTTGCCAAAGAAAAGTGTTTCTAGGACCATGTTAGGGTCTGGTTAGGAAATAAGGAACCAAAGTTTGGTATAAATTTGACTTTCCCAGCAGCTTGTTCTCTGCTTGTCCTCTTGGCCTGAGGTGTCAAAAAGCTCTCAGAGAACCTTCTATCCATGCTACGTCCCAACCCCTAAGGGCAGAAGTGTTTGGATTTTCACTCCAGCATATATTCCCTAGGAAAATTTTCCTATGAACTTGGAAACTCTGGCTCTCAGAATGCTGCCTTCTCAAAGCAGGCTAATTATGGTGATTCAAATGGCTTTACAAGCCAGAATGTAGACAGCATACAATTAGAGGCTTGCTAAATGCCTGCAAAATGCAGTTCTTCCTAATTTCATTACTTTCTCTTTTGATTAGAGGCTGATTACTTTCAGCCCTAATTTTCCTGCTCGCCTGGGTCTTAGCGCCTAGACTATGAACCAAATCATTTATATTGGTGGGAATTGCACTCGTTGCGAATATCTAACCATGTAAGATAATACTTGGGATATATTTCTGGATCCATAAGGGTTCCTGAGATTGGAACTTCTTCTTGGGTCTTTTCTGACTATTAATTTTCATTGTTTTCTGAGCAAATTCTTCATGGGGCGTTTGAAAAGCAAATGAGAACGAGCATCCTTTGCTCAGGGTAAAATGTTTAGATGTAGAAGTGGTGCACTCTATGAAATCCAGAGGATTCTGCTTGCAAATCTCTATGCCCTGGCTTTGAGCTCTGTCCATCTTGAGAAAAGTGTACCTTTTTGTAATTTGTCTAAAATACCATGTGGGCTCCAGGCAGTTCATTCTCAAAATTATGTCCAGAACAGCGCTTGTTGATCATTCCATTTTTAAGATTCAAACCTCTCACGTTTGGTTGGAGGCAGTATGGTGTAATAGAAAAAATTTGAGATAGGGGTCCATTGACCTATGAATTACCAACATTGCCATTATTGATATTATTCTTAATAAGATCCAGCCATTTTCTGTCTTATTACTGAATGCTCCTCAAAACGTGACTTCTACTTCCTGGTCTAAAGTGGCTGTTCAGGCTCCTGCCATCATGTCAGCATTCCACTCAGGAGGGAGAAGAGAAGAAGGAAAATGCCGTTCATCCCTCTTCTGTTTAAAGATACTTCCCAAAAGTTGCATGTCCCACTTCTATCTAAAGACTGTTGGCCAGAACTTAGGTCACATATCTAACTGCAAACGAGGCTAGGAAATGTTCAGGGTAGCACATGTTCTAAAGGCTTTATATGCATTATCACATTTACCCCTGACCACTCCACTATGGGGTAGTTATAAAGACCCAAAGAAGCAAAGGACTGGCCTAAATTTACCCAGCATGGGCTGGTAGAATCAAGATTTGAACCCAGGCCCCCTTGTTCCAAAACTACAGCTCCTAATCACTAGGACATACCACCTGAATTTTTTTTCTTTTTTAATTTTAGCAAGGAAAGACTGCCCTGGCTGTGGCCTCCAGGAGCAACCATAGCCTTGTGGTGGACATGCTCATTAAAGCAGAGAGATACTACGCCTGGAGAGAGGTAAGGAAGGCCGATCCCAGCACAGCAGGGGCTCTCCTGGCAACACCCTTCTTCTTGAGGGGCAGTGCAGGGTCTGTGCCATTCTTTGCTCTAATGAGCAGAGTCCTGGTCAGTACAATTATAACTCTCCCTTCTGTCTTGTTCTGCCCCATTCATGGAATGAACATCTGCCTCTTCCTCTGCTGACATCACACGTCAGAACTGAGTGCGTAGAGTTCACTAGGGCCAAGGGGCATTGTCCAGGCTGGCTCTAATGGACCTAGCGTGTGAGCCCTGATGGGTGATGCCCTGGTTGTGCCCTCTGTCCACAGTCTGGCCATGAGCTATTCCCAGAAGCACGAATGAGTGGTTTAAAAAACTCCTTTCTGTGGCTCGGCAGTTTTCAACACACCCCTGTGCGTGCTTTCAGGCACTCAAGTATTCTGTGAGAGTCACGAAAACCTTATTCATCTAAGAACGCAAAAAAACTTGTCTGTAAGTCATTCTTTTTGCTGTTCTTTTATTTTTATTTTCTCTGATATCTGCTACCCATGCAGCTTCTCAATAGACTGCCCCCCCCTGCAAGATTAAACTCTATGCCCTCAGGCAAGAATGGCACTGCCAGGCACCATTCTTGACTTACAGTGATGTGTGGTTTCCATTCTACTGATGTGTTGTTTCCATTCTAGGCTGCATGGCTACCCCTGGCCCAATGTGTTAGCTCCAGAATTCAGGCCCTAATCACTTGAGGCCCACCCTGAATTTCTACGAACGTGGATTGCTGTCCACCTGGCCAGTCCTGGGAAATTTCCCTTAAATCCTTAAAGCAAAAAGCATTTACTCATCTCCTTCTCTCTCACAATCCTGTTTAATTAGCTTGGTAGTCTTGATATATATGGATTCTTTTAAAGGTCACACCATCCTCCTTGCAACTTTTCTTGCCTGTAAAACAAAACAGAAAAAAAGGTGCTTTGCTTGTAAAACTTTTTTTTTTTAATTTTAACAATTGGAACTCTCTGTTTCTTCTCTCCCATTCATCATATTCTACGTTCTTCCATCTCCTCCCTTTACCTCTTCCTCTTTTCCTATATCCTCAGGCTCAATTTCTTAAATTACCATTGTATTTTATTGAAGACAACTTTACCAAGTTCCATCTTTTCTCTTTCTCTTTAACTTGCTTTCACATTTTCTTTGGAAATAGAAATATTCATTGGTTCTATTTTTAATTCCTGATAGCTTTTTAAAAATTATTTTGGGTAGATGAGAATAAATTACTTTCCCACCAAATGAATACGCCCTCTTTCCTAATGAATCTTTAAGACATAAGAGGTAGGTATACTTTGAAAACCATACATAATACATGAGTATAGCTAAAGGAGACCCCCAGAAATGGTAAGAGTTGTTAACTCTGGTGACAATTGGGATCCTGGGGTCTGGAGTGGGAGAAATACTTGTTTTTTAAGATGTATCTTTAAACATTTTTTTAACCAAATGCATTTATTATTGTAAATTATCTTTGTTCATTGAACAAGTTTATATCCTTGGCTAATATAAAATGGTTCCTAGTAAAAGGATTAAAGATATGATTTAAATTCCTCTCTTATATTCATTTATCCTTTAACCTAACCACCCAATCATCCATCATTGAAATCAGTGGTTCAGAGGCAAATGGGAGCTTCCTAAAACCTGACTTATGTTATTTTAATTTCCACCAGTTCTGGCTCATGTTATTCCTGCCAATAGTTCAGTGCTTTGGCAGGCAAGCTATTTAATGCTTTCACTGGCTGCTGAAAAAGACCTAGACTTTCCAAATCTCCTGCCCTTTTCAATGGGAGCCTAAGGGACCACACAATCCAATCCTGAAATGCATAAACCATGTAAGTTTCTTGAAGAACTAAAAATGTTATCGCACAAAGATAAATGCAGAAGCATTTTGTGTTCTTCCCTTTCCCTTGTGACGTTTAGGCTTTTGTTCTTGTTGGATTCATCATTGTTTCAGGAGATGGAATGAGGAGAGAAGGACAAAGTGAAGTGGCCTGCAGCTCCCAAGTTTGTTGGATCTCCCCATCCTCAACCTTACTTCTTTTGGAATTCCTGGGAGCTAGGCACTGTGGAAGTAAAGCTGAGGTTGGGTTGGAGAAGACCCTACTTTTTACAGTCCCTAAAACAATTATGGGTAGTTCACACCTCCCATTCCTCTTCCAACTTCTATACACAAAGTTCAGATACTAGAGGAAGGTTTTGCCCTTCTTGGCCAAGCTTCCCAGGACGAGCTTATTGTGCTTCCCTTGTTGAGCTTCCTGGAGGAGGTTGCTGATGCTGTGAAGGATCCATGGTGGGGGCCCATCAAGTTCTTCTCATCAGTGTTGAAACCCAGGGTCCTAGACACTTTTGGTTCATTTCCTGCCCCAGCCTTGATTCCCATCTTGTTGTTAAGAACATTTTCATTAAGATACACCTCTATTTAAGTGAAAGACAAAAATAGAAGTCACTATACACGAAAAAGGAGAGGTAAGTAGGAAGTCCCAGACTTCTTGGTGGGCCGCGTGTCCTGCGCGTCCTTAACTGATCTGCAACCTTCTACAGGAGGATAACCTGGAGACCTACTGGCATAAGCACAACACACAGTTCTAGGAAGCGGCGATGCCTGCTTTCACTCAGTGATTTTCTCCAGTGTTTGTGGTTTGATTCTGCAGGACTCTGGTGGATTCTGCTGAAGGGACAAAAGGAACCTTGCCAATCTAGGCATAGCGCTGTTGGGCTGAGTCTGGCTGCAGTGACTTTAAATGACGTCCACTCCTGTCCTCTCCACCCCCTGGGTCACCTCTTCCCCAAGCCCCACCCTGAGCTAGGCTCCTAGTTTGCTCTCCTCATGCTCACCAGAGAGCAGGATGAATGAGGGACCATCTATGGGGTCTTATTAAGGATACAGCCAATCTGGGCTCACCGAAGCTTCGATATGAGAACATCAAATACCCAAAAGAAGAAAAGGGGGTGTGGGTTCAAACAAAGGCCATTAAAGATGGTTTTGTTGTTGTGACACATCCTTTCCCAAGACAGCCTCTCTGTTCTCATTCTCTGTTCTAAGCAGCATGGGACACAATAGGCAAAATCCCTCACATTTCCTGTGTCAGACAGACGGTACCCAAGCTTTTAATTTCAAGCATTTGTTTCCATTTTGGATGTCAAAAAAAAAAAAAAAGATCCAGTGACAGATGGCATTGAAAACATAGTCTCAGTGACCACCTTACTAGTTATGTATGAAAAACATATATACTCTGAAATAAGGTAATAAGTAGAACATGTCTGAAATCTTCTGATAAATTATTTTCACTTTAGAAGCATCATGAGAGCATCGGGGACCCATCAACAGGCTTTCCTCTGACATTCAAGCAAGACCACAGTCTGGAGACCAGACACATTCGCACGCTCCTCTGGGGCCTGGCTTACCATCAGCTGAAGGCCAATGAGTGGCAGAGGCTGGCCCGTTCGTGGAATTTTACAGATGACCAGATTAGAGCCATTGAGGCACAGTGGTCAGGTGAGTATGGACTAGGTGATGTGGGCAGGAGGAAGTCACTGTTAGGAACAGCAGTGCCTCCTGGTGTGGGGTCTTCCAAGGAAGTGCGTGGCACTCACAATAAGCCACAGTCTTCGAGGGGCCCAGGAATAGGGGCAGCTAGCTTAAATCCACACCAGTGATTTGGGTGTTAAGATTTGCAGAAAGTGAATGCGCATGGTCTGCAGTAAACTGAAGTTTGCAAGGGATGATTATATTTATTGAGCCATATCAAACGTGGCATTTAGCTTAGAGAGAAATTAAGGTTCCCAACTGGACAGTCACTTAAGGAAGCAAGGATTTAACAGTTGGTGTGTCAGTGGGAAGCCAGTCTGATTTCTATGTTCCTTGAGACTGTCCTGGGGTGAATGGGTTTATTCTGTAATCAATAGGCTCACTGTTTAAATCCGCGCTCCAGAAAGAGGAATTCCTTAAACCAGGTGGGTGGGGGAGAAAGGGTTCTCGTAGGACGCTGCCTTAGGGGAGACTTGGCTGTCCCATGAGAGACACAGGGAATACAGACTCAGAGGGCTTTCTTGGCTAGATGATTCCAAGCAATGGAATCATTTCAGGCGGACTCAAACTGTCAGAATTAGTGCGGTCAGGTCAGCTGGATTCCTTAATTTTGCTTTTTTGTAGTTAGACGAAAACCTAGGAAACAGAAAGTTTACTTGGCATTAATCAACTAATTAGCTTTGAAAACAATGAAGCAAACACGTTTCTTGGCAAAGTGTTTTATTCAGAGCACAGCCCTCTCATGGACATCCTAAGACGAGAGGGTGTCCTTGCTCAGGGGTCGATTTGTACCAGGGATTGCTGGGAACTGGGGATAGCAGAAGCACAGCCTGTGAGCACACACTATTTATACCACATACAAGTATATGAGACTTCGTATTGCACATTCTTAGGATTCATTTTCATGTGAAAAATAGATGATAATATATTGAAAACATTAAATACTAGTTTCTAACTAGAAAAGTTTTTTTATTGTTGAGATTTCTTTTTTGTCATTAGTTAGGCTTATAGTGTTGTGTGAAGTCTTTAGGAAAATTGAGTTGCCTCCTGGAACTCTATCTTGACCAAAAGAGATGACTGGAAAATACAGTGTTATCTTCAGAGTACTTGCCAGCAGGACAAGGGAGATTTTAAAGTGTTTCGATGGAACCTTTATGGAGGGCCTGGAGTGTTTCTCTGCTGGATGAGGGACAGATACATCAGCTCTCTAAGCCATGCATGTTTGATGGAGTTTATAATCTAGTTGGCACAATAACAATGACATTTACAATTCAATTATATTGTAAATGTCCAGGGTACATTATATTGTAATGTACCCTTATATCCAGGGTAAGGTTACCGGCAATGGGGAGTTTGTGGGCTTTTGAGCAGAGGGGTAACAAGACTCATGATGGTATTTTAGACAAATTAGTTTGTCAAGAGCAAGATTAGGAAAGGAACAGAGGACTTGTCCAGGAGTACATTCTGTAAGCATGTAGTTCCCTCTCCCTGAAAAGCCTGCCTCTCTGTAACAGTCTGTCCAGTGAACTTCTCCCTCACCCCTGCAGAGCTCAGGCCCTTCCTTTGCACAGCATGTCTGCTCCTGCACACTGTTTCTCAGAGCAAGGAGCCTGTAGTGACGTCCTGTTGGGAACCACAGTGGCTTTGTGGCTCCCTATCCCAGTACTTCCCCCAACACCTGTCCAGGCTGAGATATCCAGTGAGTATTTGTCAAATGCATAATCCTGGCCCAGGGATGCAAACTTCCCTCAGAGTAGCTTTCTTGAAACTGGAGTGGCAGAATGAATGGTGCGTGCTTGCTGCTCAGAGTGGGGAATATGGAGCAGCAGTGGCAGCAGCACCCGGGAGTTTGTTAGATGCATGGATTCTTATCCCAGACCTACTGAATCTGAACGTGCATTTTAGTAAGACACCCAGGTGAAATAAGCACTGGGAGTTTGAGGAGCATTGGTCTATGAGAAGGTGCACATCTCATTAAAATTGTTACCACTGGGCAGGCACCACAGCTGTCCTCTCTCTTGTACATTCCTTTGGGTGTGTGCCAAGCACAGTAGGTGCGAGCCAAGAGGTGGAGGGAATGCAAACGCTGGTCATCATAAAGCAGCACAGCGAGGGCAACTGGAAGGGCTTTTTTCGAAGAGGAACAGACATGTGCAACCACAGTCATTCGGAAAGTTTACTTGGAACCGAGATCACAATGGAAAGAGATAGCAGCTCGTGGTGTTTTACCTCGGACCTCTTGTGCTTGGCACAGGAAATGAAAGCTTCCGTGAACATGGCCACAGGGCTCTGCTTATCTGGCTACATGGGACCCTGATGACTCAGGCTGATCCGGCCAAGCACCTGTATGAAGAGCTGGTACACGCAGGTTTCCCAAAACTAGCTGGTAGGTGACAATTTCAACAAACAGAAATTCTTTCTCCCTTAAAATGCCAGAAAGCAGTCTACAGAAACACCATCCTGACCAGCTGCAGTCCCAGCGTGGTGTTAGCTGTGGCTCACATGGAGTATGGAACTATGGAAGGGGCTTGTAAGCTGTCAGCAGCTTCTCCTTTGGGGAATGACCCAGTCAATACTGGTTACTCGTTAGCCGGGCAGTTCTGTGTCATCCCCCTACTCGGCATTTGAAAAAGTGTGGGAGTGTTTCTGTTTATGCATATGTGTGGTGGGGGCGGGTGGGGCGGGGAAGAAGTGCTAAACCATCCCATACAGTTACAAGATTGTTCTCCACAACTAAGAGTTGTCTTGCTCAAAATGCCATTTTACCCCAGTTGAGAAACTGCAGGTTAGTGTATTTGAAAATGTTATCTCTAGGTGGAACAAAAAGAGCAGACAGGCTATTACTTTGCCACCTGTGGTTATTGCTAAAACATCACTCGGCCGAAATCACTGACCATCTTGTCAGGAAAGATCCTTTAAGAGCTTATCAATAAATTAGGAGGTGTTATAACTCTCATATAATAACAAGCATTCAAGCAAAAAACAGGAACATCTGCCATTATTTTCACTGAAGCAGTTTTACCTGGAGCAAGAAGATAAATGAGTGAACACCGACTGATCCAACAGTTTCCAGCAGTAGTAGGTACAGGGAACAGTGTATGGATACCTACCTTCCATCACACGATCTCATAATATTGGAGTTGTTCCCTCAACTTTAACCCTGTTCCCACTGGCCCCGAGAATATTCGCCAGCGGTGCTTGCAGCATTTACCCCGAGAAAACTTTGCCATGAATTATCTTGCTTTTATTATTATTTTTGCATTGCTCTAGTATATCGACTTTGGAAACAAAATACATCATTCTACTTATAGCATTCTGTTTTTAGTAGTGATATTTCCATTTACAAAATGTGGAAATTCTTGATGGTTGAAAATGTCAAGTCCTAGAAAATGTAGCATTCCTACATGTGATGTTGACGTCGTTCTCAAACAATTGTTGGCCAAAGATTCATTCAGTGAATCCGATTTTTCGGAAATTGACGATTCGGATGATTCAGACTATTCTGATGTTAGTTCTGTTTAGAAATAACTCCAAGAACAGTTTTTATATTTGTTTTTCACATTGAAAATCAGTCAGATTTGCTTCAGCCTCAAAGAGTGTGTTTATGTAAAATTAAAGAAGCGCTGGCAGTGAGCTGCACTTTTTTTTTATAAAAGGGAAAAGGGTTATATGTATTCTTCCTATGAAAGAGGTTCCATAAGAACTCTCAGAGAAGACACAGATGCAGTCCACTGAACTGGCTAAGGGTATGTATTCTGACGCAAGGCTGTGTGAGCTCACTCTTGAACTCCAAAGGTGACTGCTTGTAAATCTTGAGCAAGTTCTATGACCTCCCTGTGACAACCTTCTCATTTATTAACTAGGAAAGAAAATAAAAATGTTTACTTCAAAGGGCTGTTGTGGGATTTAATGAACAATAGTGCCTAGTAGACAATAAGTGCTTTAAAAATGTTAGGTATTAATCAATTTATCTTATTTTTTTCCAGAAAAGACTCGTCATTTCAAAAGCAAAACTGACTTAAACTCCAAGAAATGTGTAGTTTCATAAATGCCCAAAGAAATTGTATTTACATGATCTTCCACTCAGCATTCAGTTCTTTTAATGCCATAAATTTCTCCTAGCAGTAGCACTGATTTTCGACTATGATGGTGGTGACAGGGTACTGTAACAGGTGAAAGAAGAGTAATACCATGATACTTTTCAACCTCTAAAAAGCCAAATACAGTTTTTTTGCTGAGAGCAAGTTATATATAATTTTCCCATTTCTGTCATTTGATGTAACACATGTAATAAGATAATCTAGGAGGGTTTTGTATGTCATGTTTTTTTCTAAAAATTCATGGGAGCAGCATCATGGTACAGTAAAAAACCAACGGTTTTTACAATAGACGAATATAGTTTTGAACTTGGTTTTGCCACTTATTAGATGTGAACCTTTGGGCATGTTAATGTTGTTTAAGTTCTTAGATCTTCAGTTTCCTTCTCTATAAACTGGGACAAATGTCTATTTAATCCACAGGGTTGGAGTAGAGATGAAGGGAAAATGCCTGTGAAATGCCTAGCCTCATGCCCACAGTATAGAAATCAACTGTTATTTCTCTTTCAGTAAGAGAAACTGGGTTTGGAAATTTATAGTCATTGTTGACTTTAAATCACACATAATGTGTAATATATTACTTAGGAAAGACCAGAAGTATGTACACCAATTTTTTTTTTTTTAAATCTTGTGGTGATGTAATTACTGATGATAATTTTCTTTGTACTTTTGGGTACATTCAATTTTTTTCACAATGAACATGCATTATTTTTGTAATCTGAGAGTTGTGAAATAAATGTAAAATCGAGTATCAATTTGTGTCGGTTTATGTGCACCTATTCATTGGAATTTAAGACTCTCCATTTTCGGATTCTGACTCTAAATTTACAAGGCACATAATAAAACCATAAGCAATTTCAATCCAGTTATTCTATCATGAATTTATAGTTTTATGTCTTTGTCTCATACTGATAAGTGGCCTACTTAATCTTACGAATGTTTAAAACAGGTAATAGATTCATATGATTCCAAAACATTTTTCAAAAACGTATTGAGAAGTCTTGTCCCATCTGTTCTTCAGTATGGCCAGTTTCCACTGACCTCTCTTTATCACTGCTCCCCACCAGACTGGAGTAACCTCTTTATGCAAAAAGAAACAAATATGAATACATACTATAACTGTGTAAAATGTTTAATTGTTGAATTTATGTTAACTTAGGCCAACACTAATTGCTTGGTGCTTTAGACAACATACATTTCTAGAGCTTAAAGCTTAAAAAGATGTTTATAATATTCTTAATCACACATTCATAATATTCACTTTAGTTTGTCCATAGTTTTGGCTTGGATACTGAAAACCATTCCTGGTTGTAGTCTAGATCCTCAAAAAGTAGAGCTTGTCTAAGACCGAAGTTTGTGTGCAACAACTTTTACAGAAGTGTGCAGCTGGGGAAGCAGGAGTGGAGGAAAAAGGCGAGTTGTCCAGGGAAGGAGGGAGACTGAGAACAAAGTGAATTACCTAAGTGGCCATCACTCGGTACAAGCATAGTTGATTATTTAATCTCGGGCTACTCTATTCCGAGAGACATAATATACTAATGCATCTCAGGACAATTCATACAGGGGAGGAGGAAGGGAGAATTGGTCTGTTTACCACAATGCCAAGTATTAATTCTGCGCTGCATGAGTGGGCTCCCCAGTGGAGCCTGCACTCTCCTGACTCAACTGGGAGTGAACGGAGAAGCCCAGGAAGAGCAAGCACACGGAGAGGGCGCGAGATGAGGTGCTGGTGGTTTATGTTCATGAAAAGCTTGCTGAGGCCCATGAGGGGTGGAGCTGTTTACCACAATGGTAGCTGGGCCAGAATCCAGAACAAGTGTTGTGTAAATATCTAATACCCTTTAAGAAACAGCCTGATAATAATTCAGAAAGGCCTTAGTGGGCCCTATTAGAAAATGGGATTCTATTTGCCTATGTCACACTTATTCTCTGATGTCCTGTGAACAATGTGAGGCAGCAAGAAAACCTATTTCCCATAATAAAAATTAGTGTAAGAGAACTTATATTCAAATTAGAAGAGGCTTCAGATGATTAAGTCCATCCACTCAGTTAAAGATATGGAAATTGAGGTCCTAGACAGACTCTTTAGAACCTGTTTATTTTTATGTATTCCATAAGTACTTGTGAAATAGTAGGTAGATTTTACGCTTATTTCACAGATGAGGATCCAGAGATTCATTTAAATTGTCTGGTCCACACAATCAGTCAGCAATAAAACCATTAGAAGCCAAGTCTTGTTCACCAAAATCAGTTCTGCCCAGATGGTTTCTTTGTACTGGACAGCCATTGAAAAATTTCTGCCCAGGCCTAGGTTTGCTGAGTTGCACAGGGCCACACCACCACAGAACAGTGTTTAGATGTTCAGGGAGAACAAGGTAGGTTCAGTGCTGCAGAGTTTCAAATAAGGTGAGAAAGAAAACCAGAAACAGGATCATTCTAACAAGAAATTTCTGACACTTCTGTAACTCTAATGCTAGTATTACAAATGTTTTCCCTTTTGGCATTAAAAAACGATGCATAGATGTTGCCATTTCCGTCTATTTTCAACTGTTAGACTCCTGGAAAAATGAAGACTAACACGCTAAAGCCACAAAAAACCTGGGGCTGGGAGTGGTGGCTCACGCCTGTAATCCAGCACTTTGGGAGGCTAAGGCGGGCGGATCACTTGAGGTCAGGAATTCGGGACCAGCCCGGCCAACATGATGAAACCTCATCTCTACTAAAAAAGATACAAAAATTAGCCAGGCTTGGTGGCTGGCACTTGGAATCCCAGATACTCGGGAGGCGGGGGCAGGAGAATCGCTTGAACATGGGAGGAGGAGGCAGTGAGCCGAGGTCACACCACTGCACTCCAACCTGGGCGACAGAGCAAGACTCTGTCTCAAAAAAATTAAAAAAAAAAAAAAAAAAAAAAAAAAAAAAAAAAAAAAAAAAATTATTTACACTTGGTCTTTAACTTTTTTTTTAAAAAATAAAAATATCCTAGTTTCTACTAGTTCTAATACTTTGTTTTTAGTAAGGTTCCCTCTCAACACTTTGAGTGAATTACAGCTGTGTAATATTGGAAATAATTTAGTGTTTTATAAATAGTGAAAATAAATTTATATACTTTGATGATGTAATCAGCAACAGGCTAAACATATTAAAAAAATAAAGTCCAGTTTTTTTTAAATTTAAAAAAGTTTTACTTAATTGCTTAAATAAAAAATAACATTAAAATAATTTCTACATATAGTTACAAAGCATGGTAGAGTTTGAAAAAGTCTCTTGTTAATTTTGAACAGATGAACGTGATGTATCCATGATGTTCTAACAATATGAAAAAGTTAAAAACAAAAGACTTCTAACCCTTGGTAAGACCAGAGGGATTAAAAGACCCCACTATGGACATATTCACTTTAGTCAACCACTTTTATGGACTGAACGCTTGTGAGAGACGGGGTGTGAGCTGATCTGGTTCCAAGTGATCTGGAAGCTGAGGTACTACTTTCAGGATGAATGGTCCGGGGATATTTTGCTGCAGTTGCTTGAGGAATGGTTTGCTGAAAAGACAAAAATCTGCTTTAATAATACCACAAAATTATGTATACTATGTATCATTTCATCATCTATCATCTATAATTTAACCCAACAAACATCTGTTAAGATCCAGTAGAGAGAAGCAATGAGGGAGTGAAGCAGCTGTTAAATTAGACGAGGCCCTTCTCTGTAAGGAACCCCTACCCAGCCTGACTGACATGTTCAACACCCACAATGTAATATCAGAGCTATATCCACAAAGATCATTAAGAAAGCCATGGGAGCCATTCCTCCAACAGGGCCCAGTGGAATCTTGTAATGTGTACAGAGGCTTTGTATACAGACAGAAACTGTGGTAATTGGAAGAGGGGTCAGCCTTGAGCCCTCCCCTCATTCGATCCAACTTCCTTCTCTCTACTTGACTGTGGAAACCAATCCCAGGGGCAGAGGGAAGCCCTCAGGATGCAGTCTGGTCCTTTCTTTAAACCAGAGCCCTTATATTTAACCTGGTTCACCTGGGAGCAGACTAAAAGTTTTATGCACATCACCTCGGAGCTCAAAGGAACACCTCAGACATGAGCACTGAATCATTAAAGTCAGGACACACGCGACTCAGTCCACACATATAATATGCATGTAATACATGTAAGTACACACTATGTACACAAGTACACATTACATGTAAACATATGAACAATATGTATCAGTACAAGGCTTTTCCCTATTAAACCCGATAAAGCTTCTTAGTAGCCAGCAGTGGGATTTGTTATCAAGGTAAGTTATTAGTCCACGCCACTGACTAGGACATGCCAATTTCTATTAGGATCTTCCACTTAGAAAACTCATCGTTAAAATACTTTAAGTAAAACTATATATATTTGGTCAAAACATTCACTATGTATTTAAAAAACTCCAAGCTGTAGTTTTTGCTTAAAAAAAAGAATGACACCTCTTAAAAACACAAGATCCTGTCAGATTCTGTTTTAAAAAGAACAGAACTCCTTTTTAAAGAAAAAGAAAAATAACCTCTTTTCTTAAAGTATCTTATAAAAATGTTTCTTTGTATATAAATAACTGGATAACTATTATAAATAAGAGACACTCTTGCAACAGATAGGAAATTTTAGTTGCCAGTCACCTAATCTGAGCCTACCAAAAAGGCTTTCTCTTTGGGGAGGATGGGCAAGAGGAACTGCAGAAATAAAGAAGCCACTGAAATTATGATACACAAAATATGACAGAGAACGAAGTGGCCCTAGAAGCAGAAGAGGCTACGGTGTCACAAATCGCATCCTTGGTTTTTTAGTAAAAACCATTTCTGGTAGATTTAGATCTTGACTCCCAGGGTAAAAAGAAATACAGTACAGATGACTGCCACTGTGTCTGTCACATAATCCAGGAAGCTGATGGCTATCCGATTCATATGCAGTTA